CAGACTTCGGTTTTATTTTAGAAGTTGATTTGGAATATCCAGATGAACTTCATGATTTACATTCGGACTTTCCTTTATGTCCAGAAAACATTTGTGTAGGCAATATTAATGAGAATAAACTAGTCCCAAATTTAAATAATAAAGATAAATATGTAATTCATTACAGAAATTTAAAGCAGTGCATAGAAATGGGGGTTAAATTAACTAAAATTCATAGAGTTTTAAAATTTAAACAGTCTCCCTGGTTGAAGATGTACATAGATCTAAACACAAAATTAAGAACTTTAGCAAAATCAGATTTCGAAAAAGATTTTTATAAATTAATGAATAATTCAGTCTTCGGTAAGACTATGGAGAATATTGAAAAAAGGGTTAACATAAAATTAGTTACGCACTGGGAGAACCAGGGTAAAGCTTTAGGTGCTCAAGATCTAATCGCTAAACCACAATTTCATAGCCTTTCAATATTTTCGGAAAACCTAGTTGCGGTTCAGTTGCGAAAAACGAAGTAAATATATAACAAACCAATTTATTTAGGGTTTTGCATTTTAGATATTTCAAAAACATTAATGTATGATTTTCATTATAACTATATGATTAAAAAGTTTAGTAAAATCAAATTATTGTATACAGATAAAATATATTGATAATCTAAATACTTTAAATGTACACAAAATTATCTTGTTTACATTGCCTTACTTACAGGGTTGGCCGCAGGAAAATAAAATAAGATATGATTTAAATTTATTAATGAATAACTTTTCATGTAATAATAATTTAAACTTGACATTTAATTGTTACAATTATAATGATAGAATTAATTTAATAGATATAAATAATTTAATTAAGAAATTTTTGACTAGAGATAGGTATTACCTATCAAAATATAATTTAAGACAGATAGCAAATGTGCTATCTTATTATTTATATATTAACTCAGCCAAGGACTTGGCTACACAGACATCTGCTTCTTTTGAGCAGTGTAATGACTTAATATGCAATTTGGAATCAGTTCCAAGTAATTTAAATTAGAAAATGAGACAATAGAGGTAATCTCTAGCAGTTATAATAACTTAAATAATTTAGAGTGTGGCTTACAAATCTTTAATTGTATGACTCCACAGAAAGATAATGAAAATTGTTTACACCTGGTGCATCAAAATATACAAGGCATGATAGGCAAAGAGCTAGAAATTGAGTTGTTCTTAAATAGCAACAATATTCATATCTTATGTATTACTGAACATTGGTTAAAATCTTATAATTTAATGTTTAACTTCAGTAATCACCAGGTGGTCAGTTCTTTCAATAGAGATACGGTTTTAAGAGGTGGCTCCTTAATATTAGCTAGTAAATTATTATCATGTAAAGAACGTAAAGACATTGTGAGCCTCTCTGTTGAGCGAACTGTAGAAATGGCATGTGTTGAGTTTGAGCACCTCATTGTTGTGAGCGTCTACAGACCCCCATGTTGTACATATGATACTTTTGAAAACATTATGGAGGAAGTTTTTGCTAAGCTTAATAAACAGAATAAATCTGTTGTAATATGTGGAGATTTTAATATCAATCTCCTAGAAGCTTCCTCCATCAATATTAAATTTAGATCATTGTTTAAATCATATGGTCTTTTTAATTTATTTATAGAGCCAACGCGTATTTCTCAATCTAGTGCAACATGTATAGATAACATTTTTACAAATGTGAAGCCGTTGCATAAATGTATAATTCAAAAATTAAGTTCTGATCACTGTGGACAAGTAGTTTCGTTACCTTATGTTCACAAAAAGCAAGTAGATGAGAAAGTTGTGTCTGTTACAGTAAATGCACGTCGCTTGGAGAAATTTAGAAGTAACATAGTGAAAAAACTTCCATCACTTTCATACCAAAATGATCCTAATATTTTGTATGGAACATTATTTAAGCTTATTTGCAATGAATTTAATAATACTTTTACTTCTAAAACATTCTCCTTGAACAGTCGGAAGTCATTCAATGAATGGGCGACAGTAGGAGTCCATAAGAGCAGGCATAGGTTATATGATCTTTACCATGAAAGGTCATATAATCATAGCGTCGAATTTAGGGAATATGTAAAAAAATATTCAAAAATATTTAAAAGAGTGTGCTCCATAGCCAAGTCTTTGCATTTGAGCAACAAAATTAAGACGGCTTCCAATAAAATTAAAATGACATGGAGTATAATTAATAGCGAAACTGGTAAGATCAACTCTCGCAATTCAAATTACCAGTTAAGTGTTAACAACAAATTAACTGTATCAGATCAGGACGTAGCAATGGTTTTTGAGAAATATTTTACTGATATTCCGATCTTGACCACTAAGTCACTAAATTCTTCTCCTGCCGTCGCCGAAACATTACTTAAACATAATGTAAATGTGTGTACAAAGAATTTTACATTTCATAAAGTGACATCAAAAGATATTGTAAAATATTTTAAAACTATTGATGTTAAGAAAAGTGCGGATCTGTGGGGGATTTCCGTTAAAGTTATTGCGTCTATAATAGATACAATCGCGCCTCATTTAGCTATTATTTTTAATACTAGTATCGAATCTGGTGTGTTTCCTGATTTAATGAAGCATAGTAAAGTAATACCTTTATTTAAATCTGGTAGTACATTAGACCCCGCCAATTTTAGACCTATTTCTGTACTACCAACACTAAGTAAGATTTTTGAAAAAATTGTTCTTGATCAAATGTTAAATTTTTTTAATATAAATAATTTACTTCATAAAAATCAATTTGGTTTCACAAGGGGTCGCTCGACAACTGATGCCGGTGTTGAGCTGATTAAATATATCTTTAATGCATGGGAGAATTCACAGGATGCTTTGGGTATATTTTGTGACCTATCCAAGGCCTTCGATTGTGTTCACCATGAAACATTAATCAGGAAACTTCAACACTACGGTGTAAGAAGTGATGCCCTTGAATTAATTATTTCATATTTAAGTAAGAGAACGCAAAAAGTTGTCATTAACAATATGAGCTCTTCCGGATCGATGGTACAAATGGGCGTGCCTCAAGGCTCAATTCTCGGCCCCTTTCTGTTTCTTGTATACATTAATGACTTACCTTACATAGTAGGGGATAACCATGATATAGTATTATTTGCAGATGACACTTCTTTAATTTTCAAATTAAGTCGACAGTTACTAAAATATGACGAAGTAAATAATGCTATATCTAAGTTAGTAAATTGGTTCGATGTTAATAATTTGCATTTAAATGGCACTAAAACAAAATGTATGAAATTCGTGACTCCAAATGTCAAACAATTAAATACTAATGTAATTTTAAATGGGGAGAAACTGAGTCTTGTAGATACCACCATTTTTCTTGGAATCACACTAGACGCGAAGCTTCAATGGAGCCCCCATATATCAAAACTAGCAAGCAGACTTAGTTCTGCAGCATATGCTGTAAAAAAGATTAGAAGTCTAACCAGTGTTGAAACAGCTAGACTAGTTTACTTCAGCTACTTCCATAGCATAATGTCGTATGGTATTTTGCTATGGGGACACGCAGCTGACACTGAAATTATATTTGTTTTGCAGAAGAGGGCCATAAGAGCAATTTATGATTTAAAGCCTAAAGAGTCGCTGCGACAAAAATTTAAGGAAATTAATATATTAACTTTGGCCTCTCAATACATTTATGAAAATTTAATGTACGTACACAAAAATAAAAGTAGTTTTATAAAAATAAGTGATATTCATTCTGTAAATACTAGGAACAGACACAAGCTAGTAGTACCAGTTACTCGACTCCATCGAGTCAGTAATTCATTCTTGGGGCGATGTATACGCTTTTACAACAAAATTCCAGAAAATATACAAAGTTTGGCCTGTTCAAAGTTCAAAAACTTTATTAAACTAAGTTTGTATAAAAAGGGTTATTATAATATTAAGGAATTTATGGATGATAATAACCCCTGGAAATGAGGTGATCGCTACCAAGCTATTTCTAATTTGTTGTGTTGTTAATTTGTGTAACATCATGATTGTAAGCTGTTATTTAAAAAAAAAAGTCCCGCTGGGTTTCTTGCTGGTTCTTTCCAGGACAGAGGTTTTTTCCGAACCAGTGGTAATCAAACAAAAGAATGACTTTCAATAAGTATTATTTATAATCTATATTGAATAAAAAAGTTTCTGTTTCTGTTTCTGTTTCTGTTTCTGATACGGATAGTTTAATATATCATATATTTACAAATGATTTTTACACTGATATAAAACCTGACCTTTCATCATACTTTGATACCTCAGATTATGATACAAATAATATTTTTGAATATCCAAAATTAAATAAAAAGAAATTAGGTTTTTTTAAAGATGAAAATAATGGTAAAATCATGAAAGAATTTGTGGGTTTACGATCCAAAATGTACGCTTTTAACTTAGAGAATAAGACTATAGCCAAGGCAAATGGGTAAATAAATGTATCACTAAAAAGATGACAATGAATAGTTATAACGACACCTGCAAGGAAAAACATCGTAACTCACTTTTTAGCGATTTTGAGTTACAATCATATTCTTAGTAAACAAAAAATTATCTTTCATTTGCGCTCACCCCTGTGTCTAAATTCATACGCGTTACGATTTTAGGCAGTAGAAAAATGTTGTAAGTCAGTGTCCACTGAAGATGTCAAAAAGGTATATTTAGTTAAACATACTTACCTATGCCTGACATTAATTTATTACATAACAAACATTGTAATACAAGACACCCTCTTGTTCTTGGCAATTTTTTTTTTTATATTAAAAAGCTTTCATCGTAACCTTAGTTACGATGTTTTAATCTTTAAACAGAAAATAAAAATATCACTCTAAAGACTAAATATATAACTTATTTCAAGTTACACCCCTCGCACGAGTTGTTGTGTACAAGTTACGACGAGTTTTGCCGGAACTTGCATACAATATTGGATTGTTTAAATATGAGAAAATAGTAATATAGTTATTCTGAGTATTTGAAATGAGTCGCCGTAGTAAGATAATCGCGTATGCTTTAGCTAAAAGTGAAATTGACAGTAACGCAGGTTAGTAAATGATCATTATTTTTAAGTATTTACTTATCATCCACTTATTTTCATATCATCTTATTTGCGATTTGGAATAAGTACTATTATATTCATACGAATAGAATTATTACAAGTACAAACTACAATTATATGATTTCGTTTTTAGAAGACGAATATTTGAACAATCATCATAATAATGACGTTGAGAATAATGTACCACTGCCACTGGAAAGGAGGATGTCACCAACTTTTGACGAGACAGGTGAGTGTTGTATATTACGATAATGAAGTCTATTAAAATTACGTATGAACCTATACTAAGTAGCACGTAAGTTACACAAGGTACACAGTTAATGTGGATTAATGTTATGGTTTTATTTCTAGGGAATGATTTACTAAATTTTAAATATAATCTGAGACAACGCACTCCGGTAAAAATACAGAATGATCAAATTTCAGTCTCCAATGAATCCGAACATATTTACTCATCAGTAGTTTCAGAATATTTACCACAAGAAAACGGTAGGTATTTTTTATTATATTCAGTAACGTAAATATAAAAAAAAAGTTCGTGTATATGGTACAACGAAATAAATCCTGATCTACAATAGGTCAAATTTTGACCTATTGTGTAGGTATCACGTTATTTTTACTTTTTTGAGCTTAAAATTTGTAATTAAATTTTCGGTCAATAAAAAAAAAAACTAGTTATTAAAATTGAATTTCACGTATTTTCAGCTCCTTATGTTTTAACACCTAATGCTGATACAGAATCAATAAATGATGAACTTAAAGAAAATTACAATAATGAACAAATAGAGGATATTTTGCGTGAAATTGGTAAGTTTACCTACTTGAATACTATAACAACATTAAACTAATGTTATAAAGATGTTTATATTTATTTTTAAAACCGATTTAATAATGTATTTGTATTTTTAGTGCAAAACCAAGAACTTAGTAATGCAATAGAACCTGAAATACGAGCCTATGAAGAACAAAGTGATTTAATAGGGAATGGAAGTCAAATTAACGAAGAAGAGCCTAGAATTTTATCACATATTAATACTAAAGAAAAAAAGAAATATCCGAAGAAAGTTAACCCTGGAAGAAAAAGATTTTTGAATAAAGAAAATTGGAAGGCAGAAATACGTAAAAGAAAGAAAAATTTGGGCGAGGAATTTATAAATAGAAAAGGACGCTTTATAGCGAAAAAAGTTATGAAACCAGACTGTGGTGCTAATTGTTCAGGTAAATGTCGAGAAGCAATCACAGAAAACCAGAGAAGTTTTAGTGTTTAAAAACGTCTGGGAACTGGGGGATCATAATAAACAAATGGATTATATTAGGCGATTTGTCAAAAGAGTCCCGAAAAAACAAGTTATTGCCAGCTCTGCCTCATCCAGTCGGCGCAAGTGGTCTTTTGAATACAATTTGTTTACAGAAGGTCGAGAAATACGAACCTGTAAGACGATGTTTTTAAACACCCTCTCCATAAGCGACATGTGGTTGCAGATTCTATTTAAAAAAATTGATATATATTAAGGAATTTATGGATGATAATAACCCCTGGAAATGAGGTGATCGCTACCAAGCTATTTCTAATTTGTTGTGTTGTTAATTTGTGTAACATCATGATTGTAAGCTGTTATTTAAAAAAAAAAGTCCCGCTGGGTTTCTTGCTGGTTCTTTCCAGGACAGAGGTTTTTTCCGAACCAGTGGTAATCAAACAAAAGAATGACTTTCAATAAGTATTATTTATAATCTATATTGAATAAAAAAGTTTCTGTTTCTGTTTCTGTTTCTGTTTCTGATACGGATAGTTTAATATATCATATATTTACAAATGATTTGTACACTGATATAAAACCTGACCTTTCATCATACTTTGATACCTCAGATTATGATACAAATAATATTTTTGAATATCCAAAATTAAATAAAAAGAAATTAGGTTTTTTTAAAGATGAAAATAATGGTAAAATCATGAAAGAATTTGTGGGTTTACGATCCAAAATGTACGCTTTTAACTTAGAGAATAAGACTATAGCCAAGGCAAATGGGTAAATAAATGTATCACTAAAAAGATGACAATGAATAGTTATTAAGTCTTCTCTATTTAATAAAAAAGTGCAATATTATAGTATGCTTAGATTTAAATCAATTAAACACACAATTTTCACACAAAAATTAAATAAGATAGGTTTATCATATAATGACACAAAGAGACATATTTTAGATAATAATATTGAAACATTAGCTTGGGGTCATTATAAACTACGTTAAGTGTTGATAGTTTTTACTTTTATGTCTGCGTTTAAGAAAAATTTATATTGATTGTAAAATTATGATAATACTATAATATGACGTAGTTTATTACATATTTAATCATTGTTTTATTGTAAATAATTTAAGTTAATTTTTGTTTCTATTTATTTGAGGTTGAGTTAATTGTAAAATTATGATGTACTAATTGTTGTTTCTATTTATTTGAGGTTGAGTTAATTGTAAAATTATGATGTACTAATTGTGTTAGAAATAGTATACAGATAATTCTGTTTTATATAATTTTTGGAATATATATTAATTGTTTACACCAACACTTTCATTTTTTATTTCACCCCTTTGAACTTTAGACGTGTGTTATGTTTCACTTTATCCATCCGTTCACTGCTATTGTGGCAGGACCAAGTGGGTGTGGGAAGTCAAATTTTGTAACAAATTTCATAAAATCAGTTACAGAAATATGTAATTGTGATTTTAATCAGATCACATGGTGCTTTGATGAAATGCAACCATTATATAATTTACCAAATGTTAACTATCATCAAGGAATTCCAAATCTTAATATGTTTGATGGTGAAAACCCACATCTTGTTATTATTGATGATCTAATGAGAGAGTCCGATGGAAGAATTGTGGATATATTTACAAAAGGTAGTCATCACAGGAATCTTAGTGTATTTTATCTAACACAAAATTTATTTCATCAGGGTAAAGGACAAAGAGACATATCTTTAAACTCAAGTTATATAATATATTTTAAAAACCCTCGATATAAAACTCAAATAAGATATTTAGCAAGACAAGTATCACCAGATAACCCAAAATTCATTGAAAATGCCTACAGGGATGCAACTCTAGAGGCACATGGATATTTAATGGTAGATTTAAAACAGAATACCAATGATTTTTGTCGTATCAAGACAAATGTCTTTCCATTTAATGGTTTCTGTACAGTCTACGTCCCCACAAAAGAGTTTAAATACACCAAGAATCAAACAATTGAAATCATTGCTAAATGATGCATCGTCGACTCACAACGTATAAACATTTGCTAACCGCTTTGCATACGCTTAAACCAAAATATCAAAGAGCATTACTTAAAACGTGTGATGAAGAAGAAATTAACTGTATTTGTGAGTGTATTCATAACGTTTTACAAGGAAAAGTACCTCTTAAAGATCAGGATAAACAAAAATTGAATAAACATAAAAACATACTCCGTAAACTAGTACGTAAGTATAAACATAAACTAAGAAAAAATATAATTATACAAAAAGGGAGGGCTTTTTTACCAACAATATTAGGTGCAATATTGAGTGGATTAGTGAGTGGACTAGTCAGTTAACATGGAAAATGCAAAGAAAATGATACTTATCGAACCTGGATTGATTGAAAAATTAAAACAAGAAAATAAGGTTAATAGTAATTTATCTCGATTAGATATTGAAATGCAAAATATTATGAATAGTAAGACGGAAGACCGAAAGAAATGGATATTATATTTACAAACACTGCAAAGATACCTTCATTTTACCGAAGAGGATCGTCAACCACTCAAATTACCAATTTATTCTGATACATCTAATGAAGATTCAAATGAGTCAAAAATTGGTTTTAAAAATAAAGATAGAGATCTAAAAACTTCAGTTGATATTGAATCTTTGCTGGAGGAGAATCGATCCATTAAAAGTAAAGAAAATGATGAAAATCCACTTTACACACCAGCTCAAATACTCAGTTTAATACCAAAAACTTATCATAAAAAAGGGCAGTTATTATTAAACTTAGTTGAAACAAGTAAAAGTAAAATACATTGGGATAACGAAGGTACAGTCATAATTGATAGTGAAAAAATTCCTGGAAGTAATATTGTTGATTTAATAAATGATTCACTAAGACCCCTAAAAAGAAGTGATCCGGTAGGGTGGGTTAGATTTGCTGAAGCATTAAAAGATATTAAAGTACCACTTACTTATATTGGAAATCCAAGGAGATGTGAGTTTATTAACCAACTTCAAGCAAAAGATCTGAACAAACCCTCTGAGATTGAAGTTCAAGAGTTTTCTACACCGTGCAGTAGAGATAAAAAGTCTACAACTAAAATACGTAAAGGACTTGAGTGGGAAAAATGGACTCCGTACTAGAAGAAATTAACAGGATTTATTATGATCCATCTAATCCCGCTGGTTTTGGTAGTATTGATAAATTATCAAAAGCCATGAAGGGTAAAATGAATAAAAAGCAAGTAAAGGAATGGTTAAAATCACAAGAAACATACACATTACATAAACCCATTCGAAAAAAATTCCCGCGTAATAGGTACATTCTATCAAATATTAATGAACTGTGGCAAGCTGATTTAAGTGATATGCGAACTTATTCTCAATATAATGATGGTTTCAAGTATATACTTTGTATTATTGATGTATTTAGTAAATATGCTTTTGCAAGACCAATGAAAAAGAAAAACTCAGAAACAACTAAAGAATGTTTTGAAAGTATATTTACTGAAAGTAATTTAACACCTACTCACATACAATCCGATAAAGGTACAGAATTTGTTTCAAAAGATGTACAAAAATACTTTAAATCCAAAAATATTAATTACTATACCACTAACAATCCTGACATTAAGGCCAGTATTGTTGAACGATTTCAAAGAACACTAAAAATGAAAATGTGGCGTTATTTCACTCATAATAATACTTATAGATATATAGATGTTTTACAAGATTTAATATACTCTTATAATCACAGCTTTCACTCTAGTATTAAGATGTGCCCATGTGATGTAAATTCCAACAATATTATGACAGTTTGGACTAATCTTTATGATAGACGGTCAAAAAAACTTTCTTTAGAAAATCCTAAACCAAATTTCAATGTGGGTGATTATGTTCGAATAACTAAATATAAACATGTATTCCAAAAAGGATATGAATCAAATTGGAGTGATGAAATATTTATTATATCTTCAATAATTGATAGATCTCCATGGGTTGTTTATACAATAACAGATTTACAAAATGAACCAATAATTGGTACTTTTTATGAAAGAGAATTACAGAAAATCACTTACAACCCCACCTCACAACATAAAATAGATAAAATAATTGACACTCGTTATTCAAGTAACAGAAAAGAAGTATTAGTGAAGTGGAAAGGTTATCCAGATAAATTTAACATTTGGATTTTAGCTTCTAGTTTAAAAGAAATATGAATAAAGAAAGTTTCTATTTAACTTTGCTCAGCAATAGTTCAATGGAATACTTTCCTGATAACAAGACCACAAATTTTTCAACGAAATTACCAAAAGCTATAAAATTAGAAGGTGAATGGTCGGTTGGAGTTGTCGAGTTTCAATATCCATGTACCATGTTTACTGTTCAAGACCATGAAAATGTTATATACATTACAAAATCTATGTTAATGCCTAATGAAGATAAGCCATCCACAGTATACTACAAAAAACATATTCCAGCTACCAACTATGATAACGTTGAGCATATTTTAAGAGTGTTAAATGGTATCGGAGAGAACTTGAAATTTCGCTATGATGAAATAACAAAATTTGTGTCTATTTCGGTATTGGATAAAAATATAACATCCGTAACATTATCACCCAAATTAAGTTTACAGCTAGGTTATGAACCAAATAAAAATCTCCTAGAGAGAAATTTTGGAAAGTGTCCTGCTAATTTACACTTAGGGTTACCATCTCAACTATTTCTATATTGCGACATTATCGATCCTCAGATTGTGGGTGATGTTATGACTCCTTTATTAAGAGTCATTTCATTAGATCCTACAAAATACATTTATGGTGCAAATAAAATGCACGTTTTCTCTCAACCTCACTACTTACCTGTTATGCGAAGAGAGTTCGATACGTTGGAAATAGTTATAAGATCGAGTACAGGACAAAAAATACCATTCCAGTTTGGAACCGTGTGTATTAAACTACATTTCCGAAAATTATAATAATGAATTCTCTTCGTGATCATCATAAATGTCCATATGAAAATTATTATACACATTAAGCTGGATCAGGAGTTGGAGTAATTTATAAGGGTTCACCATATCAACGCGGTAATGGTATTGGGAGCTTCTTAGGGGGGTTATTCAGATCAGTTTTACCTTTACTTTCAAGTGGTGCTCGAGTGATTGGTAAGGAGGCATTAAGCGCTGGAGTAGGACTTTTATCGGATATGGTTCAAGCCCGTCCTATGGAAGCCTCAATAAAAGATCGTCTAAAGCAAGTTAGTACGAATTTAAAACGAAAGGCTGATGAGAAAATTGATCAATTTAACATGACTGGATCTGGGTATAAAACTAAAAGAAAACGATTGACATCGTTCATTCCACCATTAACTGCTAAAGTGAAAGCTGCGAAAAAACTTAGTCTAAAACCAAAAAATATCAAAGATATATTTTCAAACTAAATATGTCTTTCCTTCATAATCATTCTTGCGAGTGCGTTAAGTCAGAATTGGATTTGTTTGCACTACCGTCTACACAAACTAGCATTGAAAATGGATTGTGGATTCATTATAAACCAATTTCATCTCTTGGTGATGATGGACCTATCGAGTTTCAAGTTCCTGGGACCGGCGATGACTACATAGATTTGTCTCATACATTACTCCACATAAAGGCAAAAGTATTAAATCAAGATTCAACTAACTTGGTATCTACTACAATAGTAGCACCTGTAAATAATTGGCTGCATTCACTTTTTAGTCAACTTGATGTTTATTTAAACCAAAAACTTGTATCACCACCTAATAATACCTATGCATATCGAGCATACATGGAAACCCTTTTAAACTATGCCCCTGCTGCTAAACAATCTCATCTTACTTGTAGCCTTTGGTATGAGGATACAGCAGGAAGAATGGATTCTACAGATGGTAAAAACATAGGATTTGTTAAAAGACAGGAATTGATTAGTGAAAGTAAGGAAATAGAAATGATTGGTCATCTTCACGGTGACATTTTTAACCAAGATAAATTTTTAATTAATGGTGTTGAAATGAGTGTTAAATTGGTTCGATCAAGAGAGAGTTTTAATTTAATTGTTGGGTCGAACGATGTAAAGTTTAAAGTTTGCATTACGGACGCAACTCTTATTGTGCGACGAGCACGAATTAATCCAAGTGTATTACTCGCACATCAAAAAGTTTTAGCTTCTACCACTGCTAAATATCCTATTACTCGAGCTGAAGTAAAAGTTTTAACAATTCCTTCAGGTGTTCAAGGAAAAACTCTTGATAATATATTTTTAGGACAGGTACCGAAAAGATGTATAATTGGATTTGTGAACAATTCTGCATTTAATGGTTCCCTTACTAAAAATCCATTTAACTTTGAAAACTATGGTATTAATTCTTTCAGCTTATATATTGATGGTCAACAAATACCTTCAAAAGCTTTGCAACCATCTTTTAATAATAGCATATTTACATCAGCATATCATACTCTATTCTCGGGAACTGGTATTCACTTTCTTAATGAAGGAAATGGAATCTCTTGTGAACAGTATGGCAAAGGTTACTGTCTATTAGCATTTGACTTAACTCCTGATTTATCAGCTAACTCATCATCTCATTGGAATCTCATAAAGCATGGTAGTGTAAGAATAGAAGTACGATTTGAATCCTCATTAATACAAACAATTAACTGTATAGTTTATGCTGAGTTTGATAATATTATTGAGATAGATAAAAACAGAAATGTTACTGTAGACTATAGTAGTTAAGGTTATCATATGTGTTGTGTGTTAGATTTTATGTGTTATGTGTAATGCATTTTGTGTGTATGTAACTATGTGAAACGTTATAAAATTAAATAAAACAAATTGTATGCAATATATTTTTTTTATTTCTTTATAAATCTTCTATTTAATCTAATACAAAACACTGTTCGAGTTGAAATTTTACATAAGCACACTGACTAAACCACTGAACATGCTGCTGCCAAGGATCATCATCATCTTCCCAATCTTTTAAACCACCACCACAATGGAAACACTTGGTCCCGTCTGCATGGCCAGTATAAAAGAAACCAGCTTCGGCAAGATCTTCAGGTTTCTGTCGCATAACTAGAGGCCAGTTTTCGAAACTAAGCAAACGGCTAGATTTTGAACTGAAGAATGGATATTCAGCTCTTGAGTACTGCATACTCTTCTCGTTTTCTTCTCCACTCAGTGTTGTAGTTTTGTTATTCAATGATGTGTTTTGTACACGTATGCCACACTCATCTCTTCCTTCCGCTCTTGTCTTCCTGTAATTGAAGTAAACAGAATCACATTCACTAATGATCAGCTAATGACTGTCATTGTTAAAAAAGTATTTTTTAACTTTTTCACTTTCTGCTATTGTCTTTGTTATATTGTATACGAGGGCGTTTGTATTGTCGTAGATGCTATCCTTATTAGGCTTTACGTAATATTTAATTCTCGTGGAAGCATGTTTCCAATGATCAGTAGTTGGAATCTTGGATAGCTTCTTCATATCGTACATTTCAATTTTGATGAGATGCGCCGCTTGGTCTCCGTCGTCAGAATTAGTAGAAATGTATGATACACCATCTCTAGCGGCTCGTGCTACGGTTGATGATAACAGCTTCCTCTTTTTTATTTTTGATTCAGCTTCAAAAAAATGATCAATCGATTGCGATTTTCTTTTTCCACCATCGCATGTGTTATTATTAATGACGAGGTTATCACTCTCTTCTTGAGGGGAGAGTGGCGAGTAGTAATACTGTTTATAGGTATCTTCATCGAAGCTCAATGATTTCTGCAACAACACAGTTATCATGTTAATATCAATTTGTTAACACTTAATCATAAAAGTTAAAAAAGTTAAAGTTACAGCCTATTAAAGTCCACTGCTGAACATAGGCCTCCTCTCATTTCTGAGAGGGTTTTAGAGCAAGGAAATGTCCGCCGCGCTCCCTCAATGTGTGTTGGCGAACTTCACATGCCTTCGAAATTTTCTCAGACATGCAGGTTTCCTCACGATGTTTTCCTTCACCACCAAGCACGTGGTAATAAGCACTTAAAATTGCTATTAACAATTTAATTGGTGCTGGCGGGGATCGAACCCGGGTCGCGTACTGTGAAATTTACAGCTAGCGCTAACCATCTGAGTTACCACGGCTTAATCATATACATGCACAATATTTAAATAAAATAATACACACACATGAAAATAACAGAAAAAAAGTAATTTAGTCAATAGAATAAACACTTACATCCATAGCCTTTGGTGTATTGAAGTAACACAAATGTACTATTGATAGATCCACTGTAGCCAAACGACCGTACACTAACTCGATGACTGCGTTTGTTGGTCTTATATACCACCAGTACGTAAAAATTCTAATCTAAAGTATTTCCGTAATGAGTTGATAATTACTTTATGCGTCAACCAGTTTATCTCACATTTCCGTTGCCTATCTCAACATTTCTTCGTATTGTGTTTTGTTTGGTGATCAATGACTCAAGTACGATTTGTATAACACAAAAATGCAATTTAATATTTAGAAACATATCAGTTTATCTCACATTTCCGTTGCCTATCTCAACATTTCTTCGTATTGTGTTTTGTTTGGTGATCAATGACTCAAGTACGATTTGTATATCACAAAAATGCAATTTAATATGTAGAAATCACTATAATTGACCATTCCTATGTTATTCATTGAGTAGCTAGGTACTGTAATAATCTACTAATAGCAGTAATATCATGGATACACTAGATGTACAACAACATCTGAAAAAGATTCACCCCAGTCTAGAAAATAATGTTTATGCAGCTAATAGACTGCCTATGTATACCCACGTACCAACGTATATAATATGTAATTTGGATACAGATGATAAACCAGGGTCAGATTGGGTAGCTTTATATATCGATACGAATGACGTCGGTCAATATTTTGATTCATATGGACGATCACCTGTACGATATCATCTAGAGTTTTTAAAAAGGAATTGTAAAAGATGGAACTGGAATGTTGATAGGATTCAGAATGAGTGGACTTCAGTTTGTGGCGAATATTGCTTAATGTATTTACTATATAAGTTTCAAGGATGTTCAATACATAGTTTTACGAGTATATTTACAAGGAACACATTGTACAACGATATTTTAGTGGATGAGATGTTTCGCTCCTATTTTATAGATAATAATTAATAAGATTTTGTATTTTATAAATAAAAATTGTAACAAAATTATGTAATGTGTTTTATTGATGATTCAGATTAGCGTTGTATAAACAAAGAATTATAATAAACAATAGCACTGATATAGTCGACGCACACGCTGCAATGAAGGTGATTAAGGAACAATAGAACAATAGAAATAGGAACAATGGGACGCTAATGACGGTGGAGGCCCTTACCGGATATCAATTAGATATTAGCTAATTGATCTACACATCTCCGGAACCGTGCATTCTACACAAAAATGGACCGCGGATTCGTGATCAGAGCATGCCAAAACCTTTTTTTTTTTTTTTTTTTTTTTAGGATCGGGCGTCGACGAACGTCGTTGAACCACGTCTGACTCAGGTGGTCTAGAAGTGGTACAACTACACTACTAATGTATAATATTTTAAAAGGCACTGTGGTACTAGAGGTATAATTTGGACATTCGAGTAATTTTTTATTCAATGCACTAATAAAGAAGACGATCAAACAAATTTTATGAATATTTGCGCCAAGGTGGAATGACTATTGAAAAAGCTATGTCGCAAAAACCACGGTCTCACCAAATACCATTAAAAATGGCAGCTTATTGCTGCTGTGTTTTATATGGAAAGTGAAGAGAAACGCGGATCCTCTTTATATCTTTCTGAATAATTTGATAGAATGCGTCGTTTCCAGTAGGAAACGACGCATTCTATCAAATTATTCGGATTGACAACGTATCTTCATTTTGATTCGTAATGGAGCATAGATTTAGGTACCAATGGGCCACAACATCCATTTATCATCAGATGGACTGAGCTCGTTTGTCTCTTATGTTATAATAATATATTTAAAAAATGACACAATTTAATTTGTTTCCTTACTTTATTAACTCGTATTTATAACAGAGAGCCTAACACAGCGACTAAAGTTTTTTATTCCAAAAATGCCTATATGATCAATAGCAACTATTAGTAAAAGTTTAAAAGGTGCACTTTTTAAACTTGTATTCGGAAGACGATATATTTTTTTAATTTTCAGTAGCTTTTTCACTATATTTTTGTTTTATATTCCGACTTTTCTGAATTTATATTTGAATTTTTGTAGACTTAAGTGTAACAAAATAATATTAATAAATTTTCAGTAAGAAAGAAGAAAGTACGCACCTAGAGTATGAAGAATTTGATATGGACGCATGCACATTTGAAATCTACGCAGTAGGTCTATTTTCGTCCGTCATATATCGTGTGAGAATATATAGGATTTTATAGGATAAGGGTGACAAACGAGTACACAGTCCACCTGATGGTAAGTGGTTGCTACGGCCCATAGACATCTACATCTATCCTCTATTACAAATCAAAATGTAGATGCGTTGTCACCCGTGAGGACCAAGATGGAATGCCTCATTTCCAGTAAAAAGGGCCTAAAAGTTGTACCACTTCTAGACCACCTGAGTCAGACGTGGTTCAACGACGTTCGTCGACGCCCGATCCTAAAAAAAAAAAAAAAAAAAAGGTTTTGGCATGCTCTGATCACAAATCCGCGGTCCATTTTTGTGTAGAATGCACGGTTCCGGAGATGTGTAGATCAATTAGCTAATATCTAATTGATATCCGGTAAGGGCCTCCACCGTCATTAGCGTCCCATTGTTCCTATTTCTATTGTTCTATTGTTCCTTAATCACCTTCATTGCAGCGTGTGCGTCGACTATATCAGTGCTATTGTTTTTTATAATTCTTTGTTTATACAACGCTAATCTGAATCATCAATAAAACACATTACATAATTTTGTTACAATTTTTATTTATAAAATACAAAATCTTATTAATTATTATCTATAAAATAGGAGCGAAACATCTCATCCACTAAAATATCGTTGTACAATGTGTTCCTTGTAAATATACTCGTAAAACTATGTATTGAACATCCTTGAAACTTATATAGTAAATACATTAAGCAATATTCGCCACAAACTGAAGTCCACTCATTCTGAATCCTATCAACATTCCAGTTCCATCTTTTACAATTCCTTTTTAAAAACTCTAGATGATATCGTACAGGTGATCGTCCATATGAATCAAAATATTGACCGACGTCATTCGTATCGATATATAAAGCTACCCAATGTGACCCTGGTTTATCATCTGTATCCAAATTACATATTATATACGTTGGTACGTGGGTATACATAGGCAGTCTATTAGCTGCATAAACATTATTTTCTAGACTGGGGTGAATCTTTTTCAGATGTTGTTGTACATCTAGTGTATCCATGATATTACTGCTATTAGTAGATTATTACAGTACCTAGCTACTCAATGAATAACATAGGAATGGTCAATTATAGTGATTTCTACATATTAAATTGCATTTTTGTGATATACAAATCGTACTTGAGTCATTGATCACCAAACAAAACACAATACGAAGAAATGTTGAGATAGGCAACGGAAATGTGAGATAAACTGATATGTTTCTAAATATTAAATTGCATTTTTGTGTTATACAAATCGTACTTGAGTCATTGATCACCAAACAAAACACAATACGAAGAAATGTTG